TCTCTGTATCGAATCCTCTGTATATTCTGCTGTTAGCTTGAGGTACAAGTCTGGCACTATGACACCTGAAAGTAAAAACACTTCACTCCAAAGCCTCTGCTCAGTCTGGTTCTTCCTGCTGACTTGTTCTGGGAATGCTGGCAGGTCTCTCTGGGCACCTTGGAAGTCTGGACTCTGCAGGGTGACCATCAGGTATCGATAAAAGAAAGTTTGAGAGAGACAGCCGATATCTGAAGGTCACAGCAGGTAAGTTAAAACCCATTACAGAGCTCCTCCTCTTGGCTCCAGTCTGATGCTTTACCTGCCAGATCATTCTGAAAACCTTCAGGAACAAATGTTCTTGTGACCATTAGGGGAAATAAAATGGTGCCAGTTCATTGGAATAGTTTGATAGCCAGGTGCTGCACAGTAATTACCTTTCCTTGGGTCCAGTGCTGGTCACTGCGTGTTTATACCAAGGTCATCCTGAATCCTGCAGCATCCTGTGCCTGGGAGCAGTGCGACAGAAGAGTTCTGGGGTTCTCTGCTTCACTTTCCAGCTCTTTAATCAAAGATAGACACAAATACATTGAGAGATTTCAGGTTTCAGTGGCTTCTTTCTCTTACCAGCAGAATATTAAATGCAGCTTTGCTTTTTTATTGAGTTCAAATTCCAGGCTTTTTGTGGAAAAGGAACCTCAGCATGTCCCTGATCTGGCCCAGGAGTTGTGCAGTTTGGGATCTTTGCAAAGAGCCTCGTGGATGCCGTTCTGTTCTTCAGACAGAACATCTTGGTTTCCACAGCTCCTCACTGAGGCATTGCAAAGCCTCTTGGACCTCTGGAATTGTGATAGGGAGGGAAAAAAGCAGGATGGATGTGGGTGTGAGTCCTGCAGGCAGGAGCAGACAGCTCTGGGGTCTCCTCTTGTCATATTTTATGGTGGTGCATTGTACTCCTGGAAAGATCTCTTCAGGAATTCAAGCTATTAAATGGGTTGTAAAATTGAAACAAAAGCTTCTCGCAAAGTCAAATGTGCCAGGCTGGGGGAGAAGCCAGGTGGGTACAAGCAGAACAGGATCAAAGCAGTTTTAATCCCTGTGCTGTAATGTGGAGAGATATTACGGCCTCATAAAAGGTTGCAGCCATGGTAATTTCACTCTGTCCTTTGGAGATGAGACATTTCTCCCTGTTGAGAGCAGGTGCTCAGGCTCCAGCAGGACGCTTCTCAAAGCCCTCCTTGCTCCAGGCTGTAATTAACAATTTCATTCCTTCTCTTATCAATGACAGACTGAGACTGTCCAGAAAAAATGAAATGTGTGCTCCACTTTCTCATTTTGGTTCATAAGTTTCCCTTGGTTAATGAGGACGTTTATCCTTCTTTAGAACAGAAGCAGGGGGAAAAAATCTTCCATGATTATTTCTCCTTGGCAAATGTGCTGTGAAGAAGCTCCCTTTAGAACATGCAGAAGTGTTAATGTCTTCTAAGAATAATAATTTTCTGTAATATTTCCCTGAAACTTAACTGTTGAGAATGACTCCAACTTTGCACTGAAGGAAGCATTTCCAATTACTGCTCTCCAGGAAGGCTGCCTTGCTCTGTGCAGTGCAGAGATTTTATTTGCAGTTGAGATTCTTTCATCTTGCCCTGTGATGCTCTGGGAAAGGGGAGTGTGCCTAAGCCAGGCTGTGCCAGGGAAATGCTCTGCAGGGAACTGTCCTGACACAGGTATGGAGTGGGACGTGCTGCTTCTTGCCCCTGACATCTGATTTTTGAGTCATTTTGCAGGAAGTTTGAGGAGTAGGAGTGAAGCCCACAGCAGCTGTTAGAACAAATCTGTATCTGCATTCTTCCTGCTGCTCCTCTACCCAGGAACGCTGTGGCTGTTCCATCCCTGGAAGTGTCCAAGGCTGGGTTGGACGGGGCTTGGAGCAGCCTGGGATAGTGAGAGGTGTCCCTACAAGCAGGGAGAAGGGAGCATGATCTCTGGAGGTTCCTTCCAACCCAAACCACTCTGGGAGTCTGTGACAATCCCTCAGGACTGAGCCACAACCTGCTCATGTACCACAGAAAGAGCAGAAGCTGCTTTGGGCCCACACACCACTGTGAGATGCCCATGGTTTGGGCTCCCATCACTGGAAATGCCACCTGGCATTGTGCTCCTGGGGGCACTCTGGGCACTACAGTGTGAGAGAGTATCCAAAGGAGGGGCAGGGATGGGGCAGGGTCTGGAGGGGCTGTGAGGAGCAGCTGAGGGCACTGGGATGGTTCAGCTGGGGCAGGCTGAGGGCAGAGCTCCCCGGGGGCTGCAGCTCCTCCCCAGGGGCAGCTCCAGCTCTGCTCTGGGACAGGGACAGGAGCCAGGAACGGCTGGAGCTGGGCCAGGGCAGCTCAGGCTGGAGAGCAGGAAAGGTTCTTCCTCCAGAGGTGCTGGCACTGCCCAGGCTGCCCAGGGAATGGGCATGGCCCCGAGGCTGCCAGAGCTCCAGGAGCCTTTGGCCAGCGCTGCCAGGGGTGCCCAGGGTGGGATTTTGGGGGTCTGGGCAGGGACAGGAGCTGGGCTGGGTGATCCTTGGGGTCCTTTCTAGCTCAGGATATTCTGTGATCCTATGAAATAAAGGAAGGAAATCACCTCTAACCCTGGATCTGGAGTCCAGAGAGCTCTCATGAGGGGGGCAGCAATTCTGGCTGGCAGTGCTTTAGCAGGAGCTCTCCTGGCAGCTGGATTTGGGCACTTTCAGGAGCAGGGAGAGGAACCTACATGTTCCTGCTGTGGGACATCCAGGAGCCCTCCCCCTCCCTCCCTCGAGCTGCCAGGCTGGCTGTGCTGGATGGCAACATCAGGGAATTCAGGGTACTCCATGGGGCAACCCTGTCTTCCTGATTCTTAAGATTTTCTAAAGCCTTCTGAGTTTACATTCTGTTAGAAAACTTTCTATAAACAACATCTTGTTTTACATTCCTTCACAGAGGTGGAGAAACTTGATGTACTAGTGGTTTTTCCAATGTCTTTGGAGAGGTGGCCCATTCACTCTCCAATCCACTGTCACCTTTGACAAAGTATAAAAGTTGGAGTCAGAAAATAAATCTTCTTTACCTTGCAAATAGCAGGTGGCTCACGTTGTGCTTTCACGTGTCCTATAGCGACACAACCCCACATTTGGTAACTTTCAATCCCTCATTTTTCTGCTTTTGTGAGGTCACTGCACACTTCCTGATGATCTTTATTAAATCTGGAGCTGTTTTAATGGCAGATACAGCCCAGTGAGCTGCAGCACTCCCTCTATCCTTTCCTGCCATGCCCAGCTCTGGGCTCCTGCTGTTTTCTCCCACCCTGGAGGTGACAGATGACTGCAAACATAATGCAGCTCCTCTCCCTTGTCTCTGCCCACACTAAACCTGCTCTGTTTTCCCTCTTTGCCTCTCTTTTCCTCACCTGGAATCTCTTCCCTCTTTATCTCTCTTCACTAGTTCTTGCATTAATGCATCATGGGAGAGACAAGGCAAGAACCTGCTAATCCCAACTGAAGTTTTGGCTTTAAAGTCTTAAAGAAAATACTGTTGAGAACCCTCTAGATCAATGTTCTGCTGAAAAGGTTTTCCCAAATTTATCCAAGGAAGGAGCACACTGTAATGTTTCTTTGAGGTTGAAAGGAGAAAATGCTAATTTCATGCAGAAAAGATTCTATCTTGGACTACCATAGGAATAGAAAATAAATAGGTATTAAATTACATTCTTCTGCCTCAAAATAATCTAATAAAGCATCTTCTGGATCAATAGCTGAATCATTATCCCAAGCACATAGTGAGCTTTGCCTCTTTTAATTTGAGATTCAAGAAAAGATGTTTTTGCATTACCATAGTAAAAAGAATAATACTTTAAGTCTCCATTGGAAAAAGGCAAAGTAGGACAGAAAAAGATAAGAACCACACTCAGTGCCTTAAGCAAGTGTCATTCATTTGAAACTTGTAATTTATGCGTAGTGTGAAATAAATTTTTATATTTAATGACTGTCAATCTGTCAGCTTTGCTGACAAAAAAATCCAACAACGCAAAGTGAAAGGACTTTGTGTGCAGGAAGGGAGGAGAAGGGCAAGACAAGGCGTTCAACAACTTTGTTCTCCTAATTAAGGCTCACTAGGGAAAAAAATAAGAAAGAGATGGCACAGTTCTCCCCTGAAAATGCAGTTTCATCAAAAGAAAATGAGATGTGCCAGTGTTGGCTGCAGTGTGCACAGTCCAAACAAGGCTGGCGTGGGGAGAAACTGCAACCACGCTGCAGACTGTGATCAAAAAAGCTGGAATAATAGGGGTGTGAATTCCAAATACTGCAAAGCAGCTGAGTTTATCAAAGCATGGAGTAAATACAGAGAGAAGGTGGGCAGAAAAGGCAAAACCCCACTAAATGTGTGTGTGTGGTCATTTAAAGCATTGAGACTTCAAGAGGTGCTGAAGAGTGACCTCAGAAATGACATGAAGGATGTGATGAAGGGTGAGGTTATTCCTGAGGCTGGGAGGGGTGGGTGGGCACTGTCAGCCTGGGACAGTCCTCAAATTTCTATCTTGAAAAAGCAGATTTTTTTCATTTCCCTGCAATCAGTTTCCCTGTAATATATTCATTAATGCAGCAGGTGGAACAGGGAGTACAATGTAAGTCCAGGGCACCAAGCTGGGAAAAGATACAAACAGTACAGAGCACTGAATCACAGTTCCAAATGATCTTGATAAGTGGGAGAAATGATCTGAAACCAATAGGCCGAGCCTCCCTGCAGGGAGGAGTAACTGAAAAGGTGAAACCAAATACATCAACTGAGCAATCCACCAGCAGCTGCCCAGCACTGCAGGAATTTGGGGAAACGGGGTGGGGGACTCCCCCAGAGGCAGGAGATGTGGTAAAGGGGAGGGTTGGAGCAGCCTGGGCTGGTGGAAGGGTGGGATCAGATGGGATTTAAGGTCCTTCCAACCCAAACCACCCTGGCATTTGGTGATCCCAACACTCCCATGAAATGAGCAGGAGTTTCCTGCTGGAGGTGCTGATGCCAAGGCCTTTTGTGTCTTGCCAAACAAGAGAGGCACAGGGGCTGTGCTGCAGCTCCTTATCCATGCTGCTTTCAAGTTATTGCCCCACAGGGATTTGCCTGGAGCGTTTTGCTGGCAGTGCTCTTGGCTTCTCGTGTTCCCTGTCAGCATCTCTCTGTGGGTGAGGAGCAAACAGAGCCAAAACTTTTGATGAGGAGCGTTTGCAAAAGAGCTCAAAGCTTCCCATGGCCCTGTCTTGGGTGGGGATTGGAGCTGGGCCTTGAGCTGGTGACAGATTTATGGGATTTTTCCCCGTACCTGGGTGGTGTTGCCAGTTTCCAGTTTCCAGTGTAACAAGATCCCATGAGGGTGAGTGGCTTTGGAGGTGTTCCTGTTACCTGTGGAGCCACGTGAGGGATGAACTCAGAGCTCAGGAGCAGGCAGGGCTGCAGAGCCCATCCCTCCAGGAGAGCGTCCTTTGCTCCAGGAAGTGCACACAGACACTGCAAGAGCTGATTTTTCCTTTCCTTTCAACCATCCACCCCTGGATTTGTTTTGTGCCCACTCTCTGTGGATCCTGCAGCTTTTGGGCAGCTCTGATGCCACAATTCCAAGTTTAAGGAGTTTTGTTTTCATGGTGCCTCAGCATTGTCAGGCAAACACCTCCAGCATGTGCAGCGCTCTGGAGGATCCATCTGACAGTGCCTGAGCCTCCTGCTTTTCTTCTGGAGCTGCTGGAGGGGGAACTTGCATCAGCACAGCCTGGTTTGGGGAGGGCTACAACTCCTGCTTGTCATCCCTGTTCCTGTGTGCTTTCCATTACCCTCTGATGAACAGTGACCTCTTGTCAGCCTTGAGATTTGCCTTCCCCTCTTCTGATGTCTCCAGCCCTGTGTTGGGTGTTTGGCTCTGACTGAAACACTCACAGGAACTGATGTGGTGCAACCGTGGGATTTGTAGTTCCTCAATCCTGCCTGGCTGATCCAGGAGGAGGAGGAGGAAGGGGAGAGCCTCCTGTCTGTGCCACTCTTCATCTCTTCACGTTCCTCAGGCTCCAGCTCCAGCTCTGGACCCCCATGCTGCTGAAGGTGAGGAGGAGAATCTCCCCCTGTGGCTGTGCCTTCTCCGTGGGAACACTTTTGAGGAACTACAGAGGGTTAAACCCACAATTCTGAATGCAGCCCAGGGGGAGAGTCACATGCAGCAGGGAGATTTTGCAAGTTGGTGCGTGCAGCTCCGGGTGGGGAGGGGGAGGCAGGGACACAGGCCTGGGTAATCCCTGCTCCCAGGAGGCACAGGGGACACAGGGACCTCATCCAGCACAGGCTGCCACCTCCCTGCTTGGGGGTGGCACAGTGTGGCACCTGTGCAGCGCAGAGTGGGACAGTGGCACGTAAAGGACAGGCAGCAGGAGGAGGAGGCTGAGCTGCATTCCCACCACCAGGAGTGAGCTGGAGCAGGTAAGGCTCTGCTGGCTGCTCTGGGAACAAGGCAGAAGGACCTGCTGGGTGGTTCTCTGCTCTTTAGTGAGGGCTTGGAGGTGTCCAAAAAAGAAGGAAGTCAATTCACCAGAGGGATGTTGGCATTGCATAAAGAATGAGAAGAAATGTAGAGAACACGGAGCCTGGGAGTGCAGGAGAGGAGAGGCTGCTCCTCAAGGTGCCTCAGGAGGATCAGAGGGAGGTTTGGGGGGACCCAAATCCCCAGATGGGCATTCTGCAGGGAAAGGCAGCAGAGCCAGACCGTGCTGCACTGAGAGGTGAAAGCAAAGCTGCTTTGGCTGAGGAGCTCCCAGCATTTGGGGAAGGCTGTTTCCCTCCTGGGGATGGCTGAGCTGCTGCACCTTCACTATCACCTCCTGGGGCCTGTCCTCCAGAGACCCCAAATTCTCATCATCTGATCCAGAGAGCCTTGATTCATCTCCAAATGGATGTGCCAGCAGCAGCTACAGGGTGGTTGGTTTTAATCAGGTTTTTCTTCAGTTTCTTTAGTTTCCTCAGTTTTTTCACTCTTTGCTTCTGTGGGCTTTTCTGTCTTGATTTTACACTCCCTTCCGTTGTATGGCAAAAGAGGGAAGGGAGTGAGAAAAGCCAGTCTGAATGCACCTTTTGGTGCTGGGATATGCCCTGTGATCCTCATGGCAGGGCTGTGCCCAGGGGAACCCTTCCTCACCTGTGCAGGTGAAGAGCAGGTGCTGTGCCCATCCTGTGTGCACACACTCATTGCCTTCATCCTTTAAGTTTTCAGGGATCCTTTAAGTTCAGATCCTTTAAGTTTCAGCTTTTTAAGGGAGTTTTCAGCCCTTTTGGGTTTTTTCCCCTGTGATCAGAAACAAATTTTCATGTTGTTTCTCTTGCCTCAGTTCCCTTTCTGACATTTTTCAACCAGAGACTGTCCTGGCTTTGTGCAAGGGGGTAAATATAGCCACAACCATCAGAAAAAAACAAAACAACAACAACAAGAAAAACCAAACCAAAACAAAAAAACAACCCAGAAAAAAAGTCAGAAACAGAACAATCCCCTTTGGAAGGAGAGTGGGTGAGATCTGTGAGGGATCCTCCCACAGGAGACAGCAACAGGCTCCTGGTTTGAGCAGAGGTTAAAGAGTGGTTTTGGAGAGCTGGAGTGGAAGGTAATTAAAAACTCCAGAGTCTTCCAAGCATATAACAGCCACCCACAGGTGTTGGCAGGAGGTTAAAGAGCTGTGTCAGCAGGGAGAACAACACCTGGAAAACCCCGGGCACTGTGCCTGCTGGGAGAACTTCCTGAGGAGAGGGGAGGGGAAAAGAGAAGGGAAAGGAAAGTGAGGAGAGGGAAAAGAAAAACTGAGGAGAGGAGAAAGGAAAAGAGAGGGGAAAGGAAAGCAGAGAAAAGGAAAAGAGAGGGGAGAGGAAAGTAGAGGAGAGGAAAAACGAAAATGGGAAAGGAAAGTAGAGGAGAGGAAGAAGGAAAACAGGAAAGGAAAAGAGAGGGGAAAGGAAAGTAGAGAAGAGGAAGAAGGAAAACTGAGGAGAGGAGAAAGGAAAAGAAAGGACAAGGAAAGCAGAAGAGAGGGAAAAGGAAAACAGAGGAAAGAAAAGAAAAGAAAAGAAAAGAAAAGAAAAGAAAAGAAAAGAAAAGAAAAGAAAAGAAAAGAAAAGAAAAGAAAAGAAAAGAAAAGAGGAAGAAGAAGAAGGAAAACTGAGGAGAGGATAAAGGAAGAGACGGGAAGGGAAAGCAGAGGAGAGGGACAAGGAAAAGAGAGGAGAGGGAAAAGGGAAAGAACAGAGAGGGGAGAGGAAAGCAAGAGAAGAAAGGAAAGGAAAGCAGGGGAGAAAGGAAGGGAAAGCAGACACCCTCAAAGGCTTCATTGCTGCTGGGTGGGAGCTCCTGCATGACTCTGCCTTCAGAAGATGCATTTTTCTGCCTCATCTGCACTTCTCCCATCCTCTGGTGAGGATCTGTCCCAGTGTCACTTCCAGGGAGGGGCATTTCCACCAGCTCCAGGTTCTTCTGAAGGTGATGGCAAAGAGGCTTGTCAAGGAGAAACCCTGACTGTTCCTTGGTAATTGCTTACAAAATGTGAATGCTGATGGATGTCAGGATAATTTAAGGAATATTTAAAGGTAACTTTTCCACCTCTCAACAAAAACCAAACCTACAAAGTGAGTCTATGTGTACTGAGCTCACGCTGGCCAACACCAGGTGCTGACATCCCCAAGGAGCACAGTCACTGCTGTTACCCTTTATTTGCTGTCTCTGCAGGATTTGGGATGTTCTTTTTCTTTTTTCAGGGCTAAAAAATGCCTCGTGGCTCATGGGAAGTGGGATCCTGAGGAAGGCAGCAGTGGGAGTGAGGGTTTCACAGTCTGCTCTCCACTCAGCTGCTGTGGGACTGGTTGGTGCTTCCCAGCAAGCAGGAAGAGAAAGAAAGGCTGAATTAGAGAGAGAAATGCTGAATTTCTGACCAGAAAACACAGAATACTTCAAGGAGACACACCTCCAGCATGGCTCAGAAAAGCCAAATCGGTGGAAGTGAGAAAAATGGGTCCTCCCTCCTGTACAGCAAGAGTGATTTCAAGGAAGGAGCCCTGCAGTGGGTGACAGGTAAGGGAGCAGCTCATTGCTAACAGGAGAGGCAGATCTCAGCTCAGTGTCCTTAAAATAACCACTGACAGATTTTACCAAAGATGCTCTTTAACAGCATCTCACTTGTGAAAGTACCAAAACACTGTGGATGTTTCAGCAGTTTGGCAACGGGATGGAGATGCTTTCAGGTTTATTTTAGGAACACCTGATATGCAGGAATGAAGAAATCAAACTATTGAAAAGCAGCCCACTGCAAGGCCTCTCCTCTTGGCCTTTGAAACTGAGAAATCTTTGGGAAATTTGGGAAATTTGACCTTTGCTGGGGGCAGCAGGGCAGGGGGATGCTGCCCCTGTGCCCTGTGCTCAGCTCAGACCCCACCTGCAGAGCTGCCCCAGCCCTGCCCAGCACAGGGAGGAGCTGGAGCTGCTGCAGAGATCCAGAGCAGGGCCAGGGGGATCAGAGGGATGGAGCAGCTCTGCTGGGAGGGAAGGCTGGCACAGCTGGGGTTGTTCACCTGGAGAGGAGAAGTTTGGGGTGACCTCAGTGGCCTGGCAGAGCCTGAAGGGGCTGACAGGAAAGATGGAGGGACAGCACACAGGGAATTACTCCCACTGCCAGAGGGCAGGGCTGGATGGGATATTGGGAAGAAATTCCTCCCTGTGAGGGTGGGCAGGCCCTGGCACAGGTGCCCAGAGCAGCTGTGGCTGCCCCTGGATCCCTGGCAGTGCCCAGGGCCAGGCTGGACAGGGCTGGGAGCACTCTGGCAGCAGGCAGAGCCATGGATGGTCACTCACACCTTCCTGCACCTTCCCTTTTTGCTCTAAATGTCCCCAGGAGCAGCCCAGGGACACCTGGCTGATCCTGGAGCTGCAAAGGGGAAGGAAATTGGGGTGGGACCTTTCAGCAAAGCAGGATCTCAGCTGAACCAGCCACTTCCTTAGGCCCAAACTCTTCCTCTCTCTGTGGCACAGCTTGTGTAAGCTCTAGGGGGATGCCAGATGGGCTGCCTGGAGATCACAGCTCTCCCGTGATGCTCCTCAAATCTAGGACAGGCTGTCCTGACACGTTTGAGGCTCCTGACTTGAGTCTCTAGGATCATCTCTGATCCTGCCCCGAGCTGACACAGAGCCCTGAGCAGAGCCACGCTGCTGCAGGAGCTGGGGGTGCTCCAGGGCAGCCCTGCCACGTTCCCAAGCGATGGGATTGCTGGGAAGCACTTGAATTCAGTGCTCAAGTTGGTTTTTTTGGTGGGTGGGCAATGGGAGGGTCTCCAAGAGGGAAGTGAGCCTGGCACCACCGAGCAGCCTGAGCCCGTTGTGGCGGTGAAACAGCAGGCCAAAGGCTTACAGCCCAATTCCTGTCTCCAGCTGACAGAAGCCATGAGAAAGCCAAAACTGGTTTGTCTACAGCTCCAGGGGCTTCCAGATTGCCATGGCCGTGGTGAGGGCACCGTGTGCTGCCCAGCCTGGCACCGGGGTGCTTGTGCCCAGGGAGGGAGCGGGGCTGGGCTGGGCAGCAAATCCTGCTTTTAACACATTCCTGCTGGCTTCTCTTGGCAACTCCAACTTGTTTTCCCTGAGAAAGAGCTCTAAGACTGTGGAAAACAAGTTGTTTGAGTCAGGATTCAGTCTGTAGGCCTTTGGCCTGCAGTTTCACCCCACACCTCCAGGCAGGGGCTGCTGAGGCAGGACCTGGTTGTGCTGCAGATCAGAGCATCCTCTTATCTCCTCTTATCTCTGGCTATTCACTCCTGGGATGTTTTGGGGTTTTCCTCCCTTTCTGCAGTCTGTTTCCTTCCAGGGGGTCTCAGGCTGCTTGCAGAGCTCCTTAGCAATGGCCAAGGAGGGGATTCTGGATCAGTTTAAATCACACCAGGGTGGTTTGTGTTCTCAGCCTCCCCTTTGCCAGGTGCTGCTTGGCTGTGGAATAAAACTGACAGAACGAGAGGACACTGTCTCAGGCTATGTCAGGGAAGGTTTAGGTTGGATATTAGGGAAAAAAAAAATATTTCACTGAAAGAATAATAAAGTACTGGAATTGTCTTCCCAGGGAGGTGGTGGAATCACCATATCTGGATGTGTTTAACAAAAGACTGTACTTGGCACTGGTGCTATAGTCTAGTTGAGGTGTTAGGGCATAGGTTGGACTTGATGATCTTAGAGGTCTCTTCCAACCTCACAATTCTGTGATTCTGTGAAACCCCCCCTAGTGCTGTGCTCATGGCTCTTTTGGGCTCTTGCAGAACCCCCCCAGGGCCGGGTGCTGCTGGTGCTCAGCATGGACAACACCTGCCCCACCTCCTCCTTCGACATGGACCTTTGTGCTGACAAACTGCAGTCCCTCGGTGTCCAGGTGAGCTCCCCTGGGAGTTAATTCCAGCTGCATTTCCATAATTTGCATTTACACTCACATCCCAGATGGCTTTGGGTTTTTTTTTTGGTTTGAGAGTCACTTGTTTCAGTCCAACTTCAGTCTATTCCCCGTGGGCTGGAAGTCAACTGGGAAGAACTTGGCTTAAACCTCAGTGAAGAAACTGTTTGAAAATTATTTGGAATGAATTTTGTTTAAAATTCACTCTGATAGGGCAGAGCATCCCTGGGATATCTGCCTTGTCTTGTCCTTCATCACAAAAAGGCATTTTCTTCCCTTGTGACTTTCCCTGCTCTTCCCAGGCAGGTTTTACTCACTGCAGCTGAGGCAGGAACACAAGTTTTGGGTCTGTGGCAGCTCTGTGGGTGGGATTGGAGATGCTCCCTGTGGGAGGCAGCTCTGGGACACAGATTTGGGTTGCAGTACCCCACAAGGAGTGGTAGTGAAATGTGAGAAAAGAATTTGTAGAAAATTTACACAGAAAATTTATACATACTATATAAACCTTCTATCAAACTTTAAAAAATTTCTACAAATTCATTTCTCACAGTGAAACAGCAGACCAAAGGCCTACAAACCAAATCCTGACTCAAGCTGACAGAAGCCATGAGAAAGCCGACAGCTCTTTGTGAGAACAGAGCCTGCAGCAATGAAAAAAAACTTGTTTTTCCCCAGAAACAGCTCTAGGACTGTGGAAAACATTAGCCACCTGTATTAACTGTTTTTATACTGTTAGAAAAATGAAAACTCTCTCTCACAAACAACTTTCCCTGCACGTACACACCTGGGGTTTGAGTGACCAATCAATACAGAATAACAACTTGTTAATGACCAATTTGGGATAGACAGGGGATGTTCTTAAAACCCCTATAAAAGGGGACACACAAAATAAACTGGGGTGGATCCTTTCTTTTTGCACCATAAAACGTGTCCTACATTGTTGGAAAAGATGAAAGTTTGACAAGGAACTCTCACAGATGTGTGTGCTCGCCAGAAAGATCTCTGAATGTAGAACCTGAGAGCAGAATAGAGATGGAAGCAAGTTTTGATATAGAAGGATAAGAGATGTGTCAATTGACAATTGCTGAGCCACTGCTGGACAGCTAAGAAAGCAAAGGTTAAGTTGAGTTGGAAGGAGGTTTTATGACTAGAGCAAAGGATATGTTGACCACAAAGAAAAAAGATGTAGAAATAGGTCTTAGGAAAAGCAGAAGAGACCTTTTTAAAATTATGGTAATTCGGAGGGAGGGAGTTAACCTTTGCCATTTCACAGGAGGCTTTTGCCTTCCTTCACAGACTCCTGTCTTTTCAAACCAAGACAAGTGTATAAAAACTGCCATCTTCTCTGGAATAAACGGAGAACGTTGCATTAGTCATATTGGTTGGATGTGTGTTCTGTCCTGTCCAGCTTTCCCGATTTATGAGGTCCCTGGCAGCAGGTAGCTCTGATTTTGTGTTTGCTCCCTGCAGGTGCCCATGGATCCGTGGAGAAGGCTGATCCAGGAGGGTGTCCTGAGGCCCGAAGTCAGGCGCTACCTCTTCTACAGCTCCAGGGGCTTCCAGATTGCCATGGCCGTGGTGAGGGCACCGCGCGCTGCCCAGCCTGGCACCGGGGTGCTTGTGCCCAGGGAGGGAGCAGGGCTGGGCTGGGCAGCAAATCCTGCTTCTAAACGTTCCTGCTGGCTTCTCTTGGCAATTCCAGCTCACAGAATTCCTGCAGATGGAGGGCAGGGCTCTCTCTCCACCCTGTTGCTGTCAGTCCCACCAAAGCAGGCTGTCCATGGGTTCCCAGCACATGCTGAGGTGACAGCACCTACAACAGGCTTGGTTTAGAGCTTGATTTTAAAGATCTGAAGGCATTCTGGTCCTAATGCTCATTTAGAGCAATGAATCAGCCAGCTTTTGGTCATGTTTGTCTTCTTCTGGTGAAAGAAACTCCTCCAGAGACTCAGCCATGAGCATCTGCTGTGAGGCTGGTGCTTTGCAGCCTGAAAGCTGCAAAGGGTATGATCAAACCCAAATCTTTGTTTTAATTACTTTTTTTAAAATTTATTTTGGGATAGCCATTATATAAATCCTCTCCTTTCACTGAAACTGTAGGAATTGGTGCTCAGTGTTTTGAGGGGTTTGGTGCCTGTTTAGTGCACCTGAGTTTTGTCATTAAGAGAAGATGCAGTGCCCTACATATCACCTGCTCATAGGCAATGCCCTGCCCAAATCCATGCTCTGTAAGGTGAAGGAATCCAGTTTTCCCTGCCTTTAGCACAGCCCTGTAGCCCTGTGGCAGTGCACACTGGTTGAGCATTACTGTAATGGAGTGATCTCTGCACACCTTGAAATAGGAACTTTCTAAATCCAGGGACTCTGAGAATTATTATCAATATGCCTCAGTGAGTGCATTCCTCATCTAAATGGAAGAACTCTGTTGAAATCCTTCCTAGGGATGAATCATCATTAATAATTCACTCTTTGTCTTTGGTGAGTGGTGATTTTTAAAAATAAACTAGGGCTCACTCAGTCCTTTCAGTCCTTTCTTTTCTCTGTTTATTATTGGAAAGAAGTTTTGTCCTTTCTCACCCTGTGAAAAATCTCATGGGACTTAATTTATAATGGAGAAGGGACTGTTATTTTCTTCTTCCTATGACTTTTGTCACTTTCATGGGTTTGTGACTCTCACCAGCCTCTCTATTTTCCCCCAGGTATTCTACATCTCTCTCTGGACAAACCTTTACTCCACCCTCCAGCTGTGCTCCCTGGGCCACTCCTGGGGGGCTGGCGTGCTGGTGACACTGGTGGCCCTGGCTCTCACTGTCCTGGTGATCCTGGTCATTGATGGGCACCAGAGGAAGGTGAGAGGAGGCTCCTGGTGTGGGGATGTGGAGAGAGGGGAGCAGGATTCCTCCTGCTGGGGCATTCCCTAGCTGCAGGCAAGGAATACAATGATCCAGGGAGGAGGGAATAATTTTACAGCACCCAGGGAAGGCAAGGGATGTTCTGCAGCCAGGGGAGGGGATGGAATGCTTGGAAGGAAGTGTTGGAGCTGCTCAGGCTGGCTCACAGAATCACAGAATAATGAGGTTGGAAGAGACCTCTAAGATCATCAAGTCCAACCCGTGCCCTAACACCACAACCAGACTATAGCACCAAGTGCCAAGTCCAGTCTTTTTTTAAACATATCCAGAGATGGTGATCCCACCACCTCCCTAGGAAGACAATTCCAGTATTTTATTATTCTTTCAGTGAAAAATTTTTTCCTAATATCCAACCTAAACCTTCCCTGATGTAGCTGAGGCTGTGTCCTCTTGTCCTGTCAGTGCTGCCCAGTGGAAGAGACCGACCCCACCTGTCTGCAGCCTCCCTTCAGGAGCTGTAGAGAGCAATGAGGTCACCTCTGAGCCTCCTCTTCTCCAGGCTGAACAACCCCAACTCCCTCAAACGTTCCTCGATTCTTCCAAGAGGAAACCAGGCAAATGTGGGGGTTCACAGAGGTTCAGGAAAGGAGATTGTTGGGGGATGGAAGGGAGAACATGACACTGGAATTCAATCCCACTGTTTTCCTTTCAGAGCTGCAGTATTTGGTTTTATCCAGCTGCAGTTTGTCGACTTTTGCTGTGGATTGTGTTATTTTTCCTTGCATTCTTTAACAGCTAAACGTGAACACAGACGTGAGGCTGGCAGCTGTCAATGAAATCTTTATCAAACACAGCATAATCCTGGGGATTACAGATGTCCTGGATGGGCCACACAACACCCTACAAGTATCCTTGGTGGGAACTGGTCAGATCCCTCCTGGATAAATGCTTCCTGCTGGGGGCATTTATCAATTACATCAATTATATTTATCAATTACATCAATTATATTTATCAATTACATCAATTACATTTATCAATTAATCACAACATCAATTATTATTGGTGCTGTGATCCAGAGGGTGGCATTCCTAGGATCTGCTTCAGGATAGTATAAGGAACTGGGAGGGTTTTATTTCTCCTGTAGGTGGGGATTGAGATATGCCCAAAGGTAACTGGAAATAATGAGTCTAAAGGATTGAAGTGGGATTCATTAGGGCAGATAATTATTCCTAAAAATACTTTATAATTATGTGCCACTAATGATTCTGCCTATAGGCAGAGGGATAGCAAAGTTCCTATGGCACAAAAAAAACCCCCAAACCCACTAAAAAACAACAGGAAGAAAACCAAACAGTCCCCCAAAAACTCCTAACATGGAGAAAAACAAAATCCCCATCCTTGGGATCATTTGCTGCTTTTCAGAGATTATTTTTCTGCACTAGACAGGGATATGGGGGAATGGAGAGAGTTTTAAGGCTCTGTGTTAAAGGAAGGTCAGAGAGACACAGAGAGGCTTGAAATACAAACAGAGAGGGAAGCCAGGAAAGGGGACAGTGAGCACTGCAGGAGGGCAAAGTCATTCAGGAGAAAGAGGAAACCCTGTAATAATGTACAAATTCCACATTTGTAAACCTGAATTCCATGTTTGTAAATCTGAATTCCCTGTTTATTCAGGCCAGCATAGCCCATTAGAGCAGTAATCCAGGGAGCCTTCACCTTGACCTACCTGTCCCAAAACTGCCTGAGAACAGCAAATAACTCAGAGATTTACAATGGCTCTGTCTGCTCCACTGTCAGATCCATTTAAACCCTCTGTATTTTACATTTTCTTGCATCCCTGTCCTGCTGGCAGGACTCACATCCCCAAAACCTCTTGGAAAACTCTTCTCAACAGCATCCTCATGGCAGCACTGAGAATGGGCAATTTGGTAAAAAAGAAATGGAGTGAATCCCTAGAAACAAAGGTGAGACAGCAGGAAGGGGGTTAGGGCAGCTGAGTCTCTGTGCCCCAGAGTTTATTTAGTGTGGGGTCACTGAGATGAGTGATGGGAAATGACTCTGGGTCATCCCAGGCTGCAGGGGGTGAGGGAAGACTGGCTCTGCTTCCCCATTAGCTTGGAGTTTTGTCTTAAAACCCTCCAGGCTTCAAACCAGCCCTGGGCTGTGTTATTTGGGTCCGTGATTGGCATGGAGAGAATCCTTCCTTAACCTGCCCCTTGCAGCTCTGGTTTGTGCACTTCAGCCCTGAGCCCTGCCTCCAGGCCCTGGCAGCCCACATCACTCACCTGCAGGGAACACAGGTAAGGGACACTGGGGACAGCCTGGGGACACGGGCAGCTCCTGCCCTAAGCCCTGGATTTGCTGGGATGGAGGTGGGCAAGGAGAATTGAGTGTTTGAATGTCCTGCTGGCATTCCCCTGCTGTGCACTGGGATCTGGGCAGACTGGGAGGTGAATAAAGTGCATCTGTCCCTGCCCAGTTCAGCAGGAATTTGTCCAGACCCCATGGAATGTGCATGTCTGGATAATTAACTGTGCAGCTTTAATGATGGAAAGCCATCAGGAATGAAAGGCAAATTTTGGAAGCATGTGGCACACCTTGAAACAGCTGCCACCTTGAGCTGTCCTCCTGGAATAAATGGGATAGCCTGGAGGAGCAGGAATTGCTGGATTGAGTTAATTATAGACAAATTTTGTCCTCTTGGCCTTCAGAAAAATGTTTTGCTCTCTGTGGGTGTGTAAATAGGCACTGAACTGCCTTTGTGGGGTGAGAGGTGAGAGCCCTCTGAAGTCTCCAGGCTGCTCATCTCCCTGAAAGCTGCAGGGATGGACAGCAGTTCCCTGTTCACACAGGGGATGAGAGAACTCTGTTTTTAAAGGCAGGGCTCTCCATGCCAGGCTGTGTCTGTAGTGCTGGGGGCACTCACTGGCAGCTGAGGGCAGCCAGGCCATGGCATGGACACCCAGCTCCAAGTGCTGGGCACAGCTCTTGCCATGGGAAATCCCAAGAGTGAAAAATGTGCAAAAAAGGAGAAAACTGTACCTTTTAAACTCTACCCTCAAGACACCACTGCTGCCTGGGGTGGGAAATCCCAGGAATAAATGCATGCAGAAGGAAATGGTGCCCTGTAAAGGCTCCCCACAGGACACCACTGCTGCCTGCCTTTGGAGAGCCCCAAAATCTCCTTCTCTTCCAGGCAGGCTTGAGGCAGAGGCTGAACAAGTTCTGGGTGGTCCTGGATGTGGCAGTTCAGCCCGAGCTGGGGGTGGAGGAGGAGGCTCCAAGTGAAGAATCCCCTCTTTTATCCAGCAAGGTGACCCTGAATAAAGATCCTGTGACCTGCAGTGAGCTCCTGCACCTCATCCCCGAGGGCCCACCCCAGGTGAGGAGAAATATCCCCAATAGTGGCACCAAATCACCCCCCAAGGCATCTCAGCTCTAAGACTCATCCCAGCCATGGGGGACACCACTTTTTTCTCCAGCAGAAGAACCTGGAAGTCCACACAGACCTTCTCCAGCCCTGGTGCTGCAAGGAGCAGGAGGAGAGGAAACCCTTAAAAACCTGAATTCCACGCTTGTAAACCTGCATTCAAAGCTGTCTGAGCAGCTGGTGATAATCCTTGAGGAATTCAAGGATTGGGCTTTTCCTTGCTAGTCCCAAGGGTCCTGTTTGGAAGAAAACCTCTCCCCAGGGACCTGATGCCCCTGCCCAGGCTGAGCTGAGCCATGGATGAGCCCAGCCTTTGTCTCCTCCATGGAAGGTGCCTTCAAAGACTTGTGCCACGCTGAGCAACAAATGTGCCCCGATTCCTGCTCAGCACGGAGCTACCAAAGGGCTTATTTTGATTTCCTTGGCTGTTTTCCTGTCACTGTCACTAAGTGAATTCCATGCAGGTGATATCCCTGCAGATTGAGGCTCTCTGGCTGTCTACAGGCCAAAACAAGCCCCAGGAGGCAGGGACAGAGTGGGCAGGTCCCCAGGGCCACCCGCGGGCCAGCGGTCACTTGGTGTCACCCCCCTGTGGGGACAAGGGCATCTGGGCCAGTTATCTGTGCCACTGGCTGCTGTCCCGCTCCTGTCAGAGGGAGGAAATGGGGTTTGGTGTATGCTCTGCTCAGGGATGCCCTGCTCTGACACCTCTCTTGTTCCCTGCAGGCCATGGCCCAGCAGCTCCTGGTGATCTTCAGCGCCTGCTACGTCCGGCTGCTGGTCACGGGCCGCCTCCCTCGGGCCAGCCCAGGGGGACACCTGGGCCACAGCAGCGCTCCCTGCCCCTGCCAGTTCATCCAGAGCACCGTGCTGCACACCCACCACTGCTGGGGCAGGGGCAGGTGAGCAGCGGGAGCTGCAAAACACCAAAATGGAGCTGTCCCCATGACGGAGCCCAACCTGGTTCGAGGCCTCCGTGTGGTGGGAAAGTCTCTCCTCCAGCCCGAGCTTCCAAAGAAAGGCTCAGCAGTCTCTGTTGTCTGGTCTCAAGGCAGTTTATTGCAAGTTATCTAAAAGATTTTCTTCTGGGGCTGCTGTGGTTTGCTCACAGCTCAGGCAGAGGCACACACACACCCTGACATCCTCTCTGACTCCCGACTGCTTCTTCTCTCCCCGCCCAGGGCTGCTGCTGTCTTTTATATGGTACATTACGTGTTACATGGGTACAGTTTTTCCCCAATGCCCATTACCTATATTAAATGGTGCTTTTCTATCTTTTATATGGTACATTACGTGTTACATGGGTACAGTTTTTCCCCAATGCCCATTACCTATATTAAATGGTGCTTTTCTGCTCTAAACCAATCTGGGAGTGCCAACATCACCAAGAACACGGAGGTGAGGAAGAAGAAAGAGGGAGGACAGGACAGGCCCAAATCCCTCCATCTTAAAACCTCTGACCCCCATGTACAAAACCAAACCCCCCTGTACAGCACTCAAAAATTCTTCCCTCTACTTTGTGACTACTTCTACTCTAATATCTAAACTTTTGTGACTTCTTGTTCTTCCTGCAAGGTTGGTAAATCATTCCATGGCTCAAACCCAAAATCACAGCTGTTTCCAGCTGCCTGCCAGGGTCTCAAATGCTTCTGACCTGGACCCGGAACCTCCAAAAATGTCTGAGGGACATTTTGAGTTCTGACATCCCCACTCCAGAGTGGAGGAGCTGTGGGGCAGAGAAGGGAGCTGTAATTGCTTGTCCTGGATGAACAAGTGAAAATAGGATTCTAATAAAAGATGCAGGAAAGCTGCTCACCTTGGAGAGCTCCTGCCCAGCAGCTCGGTGGGGAGAGAGGTGTTTCAGGGGTCAGAAACAACCCAGGGACGGCCTGGGACTCCTTTGTGTCCAAACCCTCGTGCCAGGAACCATCACTCTCTCACACAACCTCGTACCAGCCAAGGCCAGACCATCACTCGGGGTGGCAGCAGGAGGCTGAGCCCTGGAGCACCCGGATTTGGCACTTCCCATGGTGCAGGATGGATCTGCTCCTTCTCCCCTTGTTTCTGCCTCCAGGAATGGTGAGATCCATCTCCTCCTGGAGGCCCCAGCACCATTCGCTCAGCAGCAAGGCCCTAACACATGATCCTCTTATCAGTGATCTCCACAAAGGATCCCCTTATCAGTGATCCCCCCTCAATGAATGATCTCCTTATCAGTGACTTCCAACAAAGCATCCTCTTATCAGTGACCCCCCATAAAGGATCCCCTTATTAGTGAGCCCCCAACACATAATCCCCTTATCAGTGACCCCCAAAGAAAGGATCCCCTTATCAGTGACCCCTCATAAAGGATCCCCTTATCAGTGACCCCCCTCAACACACAATTCCCTTACCAGTGACCTCCCAACAAAGGATCCTCTTACCAGTGACCCCCCATAAAGGATCCCCTTATTAGTGAGTCTCCAACACACAATCCCCTTATCAGTGACCCCCAACAAAGGATCCCCTTATCAGTGACCTCCCCCCATGACTCCCTTATCAGTGAGCCCCCCAAAACACACAAAATCCCCTTATCAGTGACCTCCCATGTGATCCCCTTATCCCCCCACGCTGCCAGTGCATGATCCCAAGCACTGCAGTGACACCAAACTCATTCCAGGAGAAAAACCACCACACTGCCAAGCAGCTGATTTTCATCCACCTTTATTCTGGCTGAGCTGTCACAGGAGGGGTCAGGCAGAATCCCCCCCACACCGCTGGGGTTTGGGGCTCTGCTGTCATTGCTCAGTGACAGGGCAGGGTTGGGGGCACATCCTGCTGGCATCCCTGCAGCCTCTGCTCTGGGGGTGCTGCACATCACTGGCCATGGGGAAAGGGAGTCCCACACACCCGAGCACCAAAACTCCTTATTCCACCTCAAGAACTGCTTTGGGACCTTTGTGGAAATGGTCAGAATTTGTACCAATATCACCGGGGGCATAATTTGGTTTCACTGTATAAAAATCTATTTCCCTGCTAGGATGCTCCTGCTCTTCCCCTGGTATTCCATGGCCCACGGGTGCCAGGAGCATCTGACACACATTGGGAATCTTCTTTTTTTTTCCTGCCAACTAGAAATTTCTGGTCATGAGACACTGATCAGGATGATTTCTAACAATGTGCTTCTGTGCTGAGAGCAGATCCAGCAGGGATTTGCTGATATTTTCCAATCCCTGGGATACAGGATTTCCAGCAAAAATCAGTGGGAAGAAATCTCACGGCCTTCATGGGAGGACCAGGAGGGTTTTATCGTCAGGACCTGCACTGGATGGGTTTGATGTTGCTGGGGGGTGAGGCTGGTGCTTCAGGGGGTGCTGGTAGCTTTGGTTTTACATCTGCAAATGACAAGGATGGGAGAAAAGAGAGGGGTTTGGGATTAACCAAGGGGAAAGGTCCTGGAAGGGACAGTAAATTCCTCTGAAAACCCCAGCTATCCTGACTGCAATTAAACACCCAGCAATTAACTGCAGAAAGGAGCTGAACAGCTTTGCTCAAGAGAGGAGTTTGATTCCTCTCCCTGATATATCCAAGTGCTTGCCCTGATCTTCCTGGAGCCTCTGCAAATTCCTGGCTCCCACTGCAGGATGGCAGCTGCTCCTTCCTTCTGCTTCTCCTTCACACACCCTTAATCAAGGCAGCAGTGAAGGGACACATCCCCTTTCCCTTCCCTGATCAGGATCTAGCTGTTCCTTTAGGGGACAGGTGAAATTCTGGACATATTTTAGGTCCCCCTGTGCACACAGCTCCGCTTCCTCCCCTCCCACACAGCTCACGGGGCAGTGGGGAGGGAATAGCTCAGCCCTGCACCTTCCCTGGAGGCTCCAGGGACAGCTCCGAGCTCCTGGCAGGGGCAGGAGGTGACAGGCATGGCCTGAGCCTGTGGCAGCTGCCAGGAATGTGCTCCTGCTCTGGGAATGTCTGCTCAGGAGCCAGCGGGAGTGACTCAGCCAAACCAGTACAGCCAGTACAGGCGGGGCAGATCCCTGCCATGCTGAGATTGCTCTGCCTGCTGCTCAAAGCAGAGTTCACTTTGACAGGGAGCTCTGCCACCCGAGCAGTGCAGCCTGGTGATTCTGGAGGATTTTCCATGCCTTGGCTGGGGCAGGGAGAGGAGCCAGGACGGTCCTGCTGTAGCCACCGCTCCAAAGTGGGGCTGTGCTTTATCTGCAAAGCCACTGTGGTTCGATGTGTGCTTTGAACAGCCCAGGGAGGGCAGATTGGGAAGGAATCTCTCATTGCCAGCTCAGTGTATGGTGTTTTGGTGTTGGGCAGGGTTCTGGGTACAGTGTCCCAGGGACACAGCTCTGTGGGAGCAGGTGACATCTCTTGTCCCCCTAATCCCACCCCAAAGCACTTTTGTCCCCTTTTCCAAAGGCTGCTATTTGCTCCTCCCCTCTGCCAGGGGCTGGAATGACATTTAACAACAAAACCCAAGAGAAATAAAGCAGGGGAGAGAGAAACTTTTGCAGCTTGGTCCTGGGAACACACTCAGAGAGTGTGGAGGTGCCTCCCAGCCCTGGCTGAGCCCAGGTGAGCCCTGCCCCCCATCCCAGCAGGTTTGGGATGAGGAGGGTCCATGTCTGTGTCCCCTGAGCCCACACTTACTGTGGTGCTGGCTTTGGGACATGGGGGTGTCCCTGTGCCCTGAGGACATGTCCCTGTCCCTGTCCCCTGTCCCCACACTTACTGTGGCGCTGGCTTTGGGACATGGGGGTGTCCCTATCCCCTGTCCTCACACTTACTCTGGTGCTGGCTTTGGGACATGGGGGTGTCCCTGTCCCCACACTTACTCTGGTGCTGGCTTTGGGACATGTGTCCCTGTCCCCACACTTACTGTGGTGCTGGCTTTGGGACATGGGGGTGTCCCTGTGCCCTGAGGACATGGGGGTGTCCCTGTCCCCACACTTACTGTGGCGCTGGCTTTGGGACACGTGTCCCTGTCCCCTGTCCCCACACTTACTCTGGTGCTGGCTTTGGGACATGGGGGTGTCCCTGTGCCCTGAGAACATGGGGGTGTCCCTGTGCCCTGTCCCCACACTTACTCTGGACTGGCTTTGGGACACGTGTCCCTGTCCCCTGTCCCCACACTTACTGTGGTGCTGGCTTTGGGACATGGGGGTGTCCCTGTCCCCACACTTACTGTGGTGCTGGCTATGGGACATGGGGGTGTCCCTGTCCCCACACTTACTCTGGTGCTGGCTTTGGGACTTGTGTCCCTGTCCCCTGTCCCCACACTTACTGTGGCGCTGGCTTTGGGACATGTGTCCCTGTCCCCACGTTTACTGTGGCACTGGCTTTGGGGACATGGGGGTGTCCCTGTGCCCTGAGGACATGGGGGTGTCCCTGCCCCCTGTCCCCACACTTACTCTGGTGCTGGCTTTGGGATACGGGGGTGTCCCTGTGCCCTGAGGACATGGGGGTGTCCCTGTCCCCTGTCCCCACACTTACTCTGGTGCTGGCTTTGGGACACGGGGGTGTCCCTGTGCCCTGAGGACATGGGGGTGTCCCTGCCCCCTGTCCCCACACTTACTCTGGCGCTGGCTTTGGGACATGGGGGTGTCCCTGTCCCCTGTCCCCACACTTACTCTGTCGCTGGCTTTGGGACATGGGGGTGTCCCTGTGCCCTGCGGACATGGGGGTGTCCCTGTCCCCTGTCCCCACACTTACAGTGTCGCTGGCTTCGGGGCGCTGCCTGCGCCGGGCAGGGCGGTGGCTCCCGGGGCTCCCGGCTGCACAGGCTCCTCATCCTGCTGGCCACATAGCGGCAGGCTGGGGGGACAGGGGACACCTTTGTGGCACTGGGAAACAGCAGCCCCCCAACCCAGCCTCCCCAGGCAGCCGGACCCCAGCAGGGTGAGGGAGGGACTGGATTTACCGGGACAAACGGGACTTGTTGCTGTGCCTGTGTTCCAAACCCCTCCAGCACCAGCCTGGCTCCCCCCACCAGCCAAGGCGTGCAAAACGCAGAGTATTTCCCCTCTGAGCTCTCTCCCCAGACCAGAGCTTTCCTTACCGTTGATTATTACTCAAACCATTTCCCGCGGGCTCGGCGAACGCG